AACTGGTTATTATGAAGTTATTTAAAAAATTTGTAAGTTCAACCATTTGGTTTCCTATTGCGAACAAAATAAACAAATAAAAACTTCCTCTTTCATATATATATATAGATAGATAATTCATTTATAACAATTGCCATAGATGATTTGACTGTGACACCTGTGCTGTAATATTTTGGCTAGATAAGTAAATTTTAACTGGACATGAAAATATAAAGATTAAAAAATAAATCTAGCTTGGGTTTTCGAAGTATTAAATGCATGAAATTTCATCCTGTTGTCCTCAGAGTACATTGCAGCAAAGGTAAATCAGAGACTTTTGGCTTTTATCTTATTAATTTCCATATAATCTTGTAAGTTTCATATAGATCCTTTTTTTCTGAAAAAAAAGAAAGGATCATAGCCTCTCCTCTTAAGGTAACTCTTCCATTCCCACATTTATCATAATAGTCCTCTGAATGTTTTCTGAATTGGTGTCTTTTATTAGCTAAGTAAACCAAAACAATACACAGTATTCTGAATGAATACTTACTGGTGATATGTATAGAGATAGTTACTTTTTTTACATGTAATCACTAATTTGTATGTCTATAAATACATAAATAAAATTCATGCTTGCTTTTAAGTGGGTTCTCATCTATATAAAACCTGTGATTTAAATAATGATGACTCAATACATTAACCCTTTATTTACTACAATAAATATAACCTATGGACACAAAGCATCATTTCGTTCTTCAAGACTGTACTTGTAGTTGAACTATGATTACAACTGAACTATTGAAATTTGCTAATCATTAATCATTGGGCTCATTAATGAATTGTTTTCAATTAATCAGTTATTCTAACGAGATAGGCTAAAAAAATTTTCATAGTTGGCAGAGCAAAGATAGCCTATTCTGTGGCTTTGTGTCTATCAGCAGACATAACAGCAATATTTCGATTACTTAAATAGTTGGAGTAATCAAAAATAGTAATAATTGTAAATATTAATTTTGATTAGCTGATTATTTGCTTGATATTAGTCAGTTTAATTCTAATTTTGATTACTGGATAGTTGGAATAATCAGAAACACTAATTATTTTTATAACATTAATCAATTTAACTGTAAATTTGATTAATCAGTTTTTACTTGATACTAATTGATGTCATCGATTCACAGGTAACTGATTAATTGAGTTAATCATCCAGCTTTACTCAGGATAAGTAAAAACATAACTCAACTCATTCTATACTTTTCAGAAACTTATTGATTCCCCTCTTAAAATCATGTGTTAGATATTTGTTCAACTTATCAATTGGTACAGGTCATGCTGTAGCTTAGAATCCTCAATACCATTAGAAATATCCTAGAGTTTAATTGTATAAGTAGACTTTGCTAATTATGTCCCTCTCAAAAACACTGAATTAGAAAAAAGCAAAGGTCCAAACACTAACCTATGGGACTACAACTGGACAATTTTATATAATCAATTACCTATGAGTAGTGAATACATCGATTAGTGTCATGTAAGCTAATTGATTAGTCAAAATTAGTGTTTTTGATTATTACCGTTGTCAGTTGTTTTGAAAATCGATTAATCGAAATTAAGATTGTACCAAATTTACGATTAAGTTGATTATTATGAAAATAATCAACTAACTGAAATTAGGGTTTTAGCTTATTACTGATTGTGATTAATCCAGCAATCCAAGTAACTTAAATGCTATTATGTTTGTTTGTTATCAAACACTAACAATACAATGGGCTAATTTTGAACTGCTGAATAGAAGGAAGCAACTGTCTAGCAGTGCCCACTTCAAACTTTTTTTCTTCTCGAACTACTGACTAGAAGGAGAATAACTGTCTGGCAGCATCCACTGCCACATTTTGTTTTTATTTTGTTTAACCATGGTTTGAGCAACACTGTACTAATTATTTAATAGAGCCATCAATTAACTGATTAGCAAATACCACTAATTACCTATCTATATTGGGGCATTCAATTTGTAAGAAGGGGTCAAGTTCAACTGGATTCTCATTTGATTTGTGTTATCCACCTAGCCTAGAATCCGGTTAACTAGTATTTCCCCTTCTCTAATAATGTACTTTTTTATTTTGGCTAATCTTTTATGTGGTACCTTATTAAAATATTTTTTTAAATCTAAGTATGGTGAGTCCAAAACCTAAAAATTAACTGTGAAGATTTCTTTAAATAAATTTAGGGTAAGCAAAAATGTCAGGATTGGAGTAGGACCTAATGAGGGGTGATGAAAGAAGACTTAATTTCTGTTGGTTATGAGAAGTCTGGATTACTAAAATCTACTTTTCCAACAGTTTTTGATAATGAATATTTAATCTTTATTCCTCATCTTGAACAGTTGCTAAGTGGAAACATGATAAAAAAAAAGATTGAATTAATTATGAGCTGATTAAAAAAAATTGGTAAGTTTGAAGAATGATAAGGCTCCTGGACCAAATATTTCCTCAAGATTTTTGAAGGTGATATAAGAACAAGATATGCGAATCACTTATTAATATTTTTTTTTTTGTAAGTCCTTGAATAGTGAGCATGTGCCATAAGATTGGAAGTTGGCTATTGTTACTCCTCTTTCCGAGGGAAGTGATAGAAATTGTCAAGGGTAATTATAAGCCTATTAGTCTCACATCAGTGGCAGGAAAAAAATTTTTGAAAGTTTAGTAAAGAATGTTTCATGAATTCATTTAACAAAGTTTAAAATTTTGTTGGATACTCAATATTTTTTCACTAGGGGAAAATCCTGCCTTTCTAAACTTTTGACATTCTTTGAAGAGGCTACTGCTTATGTAGATGAAGGTATATGTTGTGGATTTGGTATATCTGTATTTTCAGAATGCATTTGACAAAGTGACACATAAAAGGCTTGTTGAAAATTATCTACAGATGTGGACGATAAGTTGACTTGGTGGCTGGTTGGAAGAAAGCAGACGATTGTTATAAATGGAGTTCAGTTAAACTGGATTAATGTCACAGATATGGTACCTCAGGGCTCAGTGTTAGGACCTTTGCTCTGTTTTTGGTTTACATCATTGACATAGATAAAGAAATGGTCCATAAGTTGTTTAACTTTGCTGATGATATTAACATCTTGTGTGTTGCTAGCTGAGAGGAGGAGCAGAACTCTTTATGAAAGAATTTAATTATTTGGTGAGTTTTCAGAATACTTTTAATTATAATTAATGCAAAGTTATGCATGCAGGTTATCATAATATGAATTATGGAAAAAAAAGGTCATTTCATGTCCACCATGAAGATGGGATGTTCTGCAGGACTGCTAGTAGATATACCTCATGGTCTTTTGCTTCATAAATATGTTTGACTTGGATCGTACACTCCTGGACTCACAAGAATAAATCAGACAGGGATAGCTGCCCATTTCTTATGATCATGGTGTTTGAGGCTCTTCCTACTGTGGACTTAATGTACAATACCAGCACCACCAGGTGTTAGTTGATTGACTCTGTCGATGTGATTGTTCTGCCTTTCAAAATAGTGTATTGTGGTCACCTATTGCACTGTCTCTGGTGCTGCAGTCCTCTGGACTCTCCAACACACAGTTCCTAGCTGTTGGGGTGTGGTCCATGGAGGTATGTCCTCTTGAGCGGGTACAGTACTACTCAGTTGTGAGTAGGGCAGTGGCATTCTGACGGTGTAGATGGTGTGACACCTTTTGTACCATGGACCTGATGTTCAATTTCAGATGCCACCAGGTGTTGGATGTAGCACTTCTTATATATATTGCAGTTTGCCCCTCCAGCCGAGGCACCCTCCTTACTACCGTCCACTGGATGTCAGTTCCTGGTGGATTTGGTGCAGGTTGTAGCTGGAAGAAACACATAAATTCCTGCAGGTGTACAGTTGGCTACCCTCCTCCTCAATGGCAATTGTATGATATTAAACTTTGACTACCCCAGTTCTTAATTTGGCCTTTGTTTTCAGAACTTATCATCCACAATGCCTCTTTTTCTCCATCTCTGATCTTTTCTTTCACTTTCAGGTATCATTTATGTAATATATTTAAATGAGGTCTCCATTCTTAATCATTTCACAATCATTTCTTGTTTCAAGTTCTGTGTGATCTTCATATCCACATTGATGCTGATTTAAAGATAATTTCTCCATTTTATTCACACTGGGATTGTATGTCAGTTCTAAACTTTTCCTTCTGGACTTCCTTCGGTGCTTTATGGTACCATGCTATTAAATTTTGCTGTCTTATTGCAGAGTTTCATGATTATGTGAACCACTAGCTTATTCTGGCAGAGTTTGAAGAAGTGTTTCAGATGACTTGGCTAATATTTAATCTCACTTCACAAGTAGGCTGGTTGTTCAAAGCTTTCCAGATCTTACTTAACTGTGTCCCATGTTTAGTTCCTTATCTACCTAGGTGTATCTTTAATACCTCATCAGGCTGATGACCCAGCTGTTTCCCATTTTGTATGCTCATCACATTCTGTCTTACCCTCTGCAGACAAATTCACTTATTTTCTGCATAGTGGTCTCTGGCAGATCAGTGGTGATTATTAGAAACTCTTCAAATGCAAAATTGTTTTTCTCTCATGAAGTCTTAGATTCTTTGCTGTTGGGGCTGAATTATTCTCACACTCTCATTGGGTGTTTCTTTTATTTTAATTTTGTAGGAGCTCATCCATTTGAGAATTCTTCCCTCACTGTTTGATGTGTAGTTCTGGACCCCCAAACAGTCTCTGGTTTTTGATACAAGATTGTGTTCAAGACTTCTATCAACCACAGCATTTGGAATCTTAATAGTTATAAAAGCATGACAATTTCAAAATTTCAGATTTTTTTTTATGAAAATAATTTTTGTATTCTTTCATTCAATAATTGTCAGTGTTCTTTTTATTCTAACAAAATATTTTTTAAGTTTTAGTTTTTAATCTACTATATGTTTTTGAAAGTAATAATCTGGTGGACATGTGGTTAGATGACTTCTTGATCCCTAATATTGTATCTTTATCAAATCTGGTGGATACACAGAAGTGGAATGAAATGACTAATTCCTACTATTTCAGTAAAATTTCAACATTATGCTACCTGCTAGGTAGGTCTTTCAAATAATGTCTAAAACATGCTTTACAGGAAAACGTTGAAATTTCTAATCAATATGTAATATCAGCTTACATATTTCATTACTGAAATGTGTGTTGAAAAATGTGCTATTTGGCATCAAGTTCTTATTCAAGGTGGGAATGATAATTCATTAAAAAAAAAAAGTAGTGAACTTGTAGATTTTTGGTAAAAATCTAACATCCAACATGATTTTGTTTTCAGGAAATTATAAAACAACTAAAATTTTTGTTTCAGGAGTGATAGTTCCAAGAAATTTTCGCTTGCTTGAGGAACTGGAACAGGGTCAGAAAGGTGTTGGAGATGGGACAATAAGCTGGGGATTGGAAGATGATAGTGATATGACCCTTACACATTGGACTGGCATGATTATAGGTCCACCTAGAGTAAGTGGTTTTACTTTGTAGAAATATAAAAACATTGTTCATGTCCATAATTTTAATATTTATTAATTGTTTAACTAGGAAATACAAATGTACATTTGAAAAAAAAAAACACTTTCTAGGTGATTCAATTTTTTTCTGAATAAAAACAGTTTAATTTCTTTGCTGAACTTGCACCAATAAAAATGTAGTAACTAACTAAAACAAGATATTCATGTATTTTAAATAATTTTTAGTGAAGAATGATGATATGAAATGTATAGTGCCTTGCAAAAATATTCACCCCTTTGCTATAGCAATCCTAAATCAGTTCAGTTGCAAAAGATTACTTTGAAAGGTCACAAAATTATAATGGTCTTTGTCTGTGTATAATCAAAGTAGTTTTACTTGACTTCAGAATAAATGCATCTGTTCAAGCCACAAGTCACATAGTGATATAACAAACCAACCGTGAAGACCAAGGAGCTTTCCAAACAACTCGGGGATAAAGTGGTAGAGAAGCACAGATCAGGAGAGGTTGCTGATTATCCCCTTGAGTATGATGAAGTTTATCATTAAGAAGTGGAATGTGCTTCATACCACCCAGTCACTACCCAGATTAGGCCGCCCTTCCAAACTAAGCAGCAAACAGTGACTCTGAAAGCTTTGCAAAGTTCCATGTCTGAGATGTGAGTTAGTGTTCATAAATCAACAATATCCCATTCCCTACACAAAGCTAGCTTGTATGGGAGAGTGGCAAGAAAGAAGCCATTGCAGAAAAAGAATAATCTTAAATCATGTGTGGAGTTTGTGACAAAGCATGTAAATGATACTACAGACATATGGCAGAAAGTTTTATGGTCAGATGAGACAAAAATTGAGTTTTTTGTGTAAATTCAAAGCATTATGTCTGGCACAAGCTCAACACAGCACATCACCCAGTCAACACCATCCCATCTGTCAAGCATGGTGGTAGCAGCATCATGTTATGGGGATGCTTCTCATCAGCAGGAACTGGGAAGCTTGTCAAGATTGAGGGAAAAATGGATGGTGCAAAGTACAGGAGAATACTAGAGGAAAACATGCTTGAATCAGCCAAGAATCTAAAACTGGATCAAAAATTCACATTACAGCAAGACAATGACCCAAAGCACAAGGCCAAAGCCACACTGAAGTGGTTTCAAAAGAAGAAATTGAATGTCTTGGAGTGGCCCAGTCAAAGTCCTGACCTGAATCCAATAGAAAATTTATGGCAGTCGATCAACGATGCCCAATGAACTTGTCAGAATTTGGGCAAATATTACACCATCCCATTGGGCAAAGCTAGTAGAGACCTGTCCAAAAAGACTCGTAGCAGTAATTACTGCCAAAGGTGCTTCCATAAAGTACTTACTTAGGGGGATGAGTAATTGTGCAATCAGCAAATTTGAATTTATATATTCTCTTTGCATGATTTGCTGACATTTAACCTCCTTCACACATAACAGTGTTTAGTTTGATCATTAGAGTTTTGAATAAAAACAAGTTAATTAAAAAAAATTGTTTATTTGTATTTCATCAAAATGTGACATTATTGGTAAGCTCTGTGTATAAATGAATTCATATTTAGGTATGATTTTGAATAAGCTAATCTATCATATGTTGTTTCTCCCTGTATTTTTTTTGACAAAAATTACCATCAGTTGGTAGTAGTTCAAAGATCCTATTATTTTTAACAGACAATTTTAGAAGCAAAGGACTAGTAAGTCACACACACACACACACACACACACTTTGAAACATGCTAATCAACTTAATAGTTTTTATTGCTTAATATACAACATGTTCCTTCATTATTTAAAGGTAGGAAATTATTATAAGTATTCCCCATTAGCGTTTTGGTAATAATGAAGATCTTTTACTGAGGTTTCATGTAAACTTTAGTCATTTGGCAAATATTTAAGACATTGTTATTGTAATGTGCATAAATTTACTAGATGATTAAAATTAACAAGTTGTTTATGAGCCCAGCAGAAAGTATCTTCAAAAAATTCATTGCATTTTATACTGTGCACATTATACAGAATATTCAGACATGGGCACAGGTTAAAATTAATTTCTAAATTTCTCATTGAATTTGATAATGTGATCACCTTATGTGTGCAGAAAGAAAGAAGATATGATACGAAAAACATTTTCAAAATACAATTTTGACAAGATTGCAATGACATCCATATCGATCCTACTTGATGGTATATTAGAATGTAAAAATATAGATCATGGGTTTTATATTTTAATATATATATGTGTGTGTGTGTGTGTGTTTATTTGAGGGTTTTTATAATTTTTCACAATCTTTCCACCATCACTTTTGCCCAATGCATTTTTTGAAGCCATAAATTTTAAAGTTAATTTTATATATGAATAAATGTCATGCTTTATAGTAAAATATAACCTAATAATTCTAGTTGAATTTCAACAATTTCAAAAAATACTTTAAAATTAGTATCTTGTCACTTTGTAGTATTTATTTAGTGTAATTCATGAAGAAAATTGAAAAAAATGTTCAAATTTCCATTCCTGCTTGTCTCCAAGGAGTTTTGCCTGTAAGCAACACAAATGTTGGTTTTTGTATTATTCTGCCCATCCTTAAGAATAGTTTTAAATGGTCTAAGAAACTATCACCCCTTGAGAATATATTATAGATTTCTCAATTTTCATGTGTTTCCCTTGTCTTTTCCTACTTAGTTTCTGTACAGCCTTGGGTGCATGATGTCACATCAAATGGTTTGATCATTCTCTAATGAAACACAGCTTTTGGAATGCCTATTTAAAAAAAAAAGCTTAAATATGATTGGTTAGAGCATTCATTACTTTTTACACCATAATAGAGTAAATAGTGTCTGAGCTCTAGTTTATGGTTTCAAAAGTTAATATTAATTGACTGAAGGCATTCAGTAGGAAGTTTTTAAGACTTGGGAACCAATCACAGAGTTGGGAATTTTTTATAATTTCTTTTGACATTTTTGAGTGTTAAGTTATATCTGTTTGAAAGTTACAGAAAATTTCTTCAATGACAAAGCATCCATTAAGCCTAGTTAGGTTTTGTGAGTATGGTAGATGACACCAAATTATTCTGATGACTCATATCCTTATTTAATGAATATTATTTTTTATGTTTAGCGTATTCAAACAACATGTATATAATAAGTTGGCAAACTAGCTGCTTTATTATTTCTACTTGCAAATATGATTTGTTTTCAATAAAAACTATTACTTTATCAGTGATAGTAAAACATGCATTCATTATTTGATTTACACTTTGGACTACTGTATATAAGTATAATAGCAATCATGTGGTCATCTTGATATTAGTAATTCACCAAGTAGGAAATGTTCAGATTGTCTTCAAAAGAAAATTGTGCCAAAAGTTTTATCCCAAAAATATGTTGTTTTTTGTTTGTTTTTCACAAAATATGCAAGTTGGGACCACCAACAAAAACAATGGATTTACATATTCATACTTGTTCATAATTAAACTACCTCTTATGTTTTTATATTGTGTTGTAGCAACATTCCTTAAATACATCTTACAAGAATATATATCTTGGAATACTAATTTAAAAAAATTATTGATGGTGTTAAGCTCATTTCCTTCTGTACTATATGATATGAACACATTATTTTAAAGCCTGTAGATGTTTATATATTTTCCTGTTGCTGTATTATGAATTTGTGAAATGTAGGTTTAACTAGATATCAACTGTTAACAGTATGGGCATATTAACACAGACAAGTAGCTTTATGGAAATTTATCTTTATGATTATTTTTTTAGACGCCTTATGAAAATAGAATATACAGTTTAAAGATAGAGTGTGGCTCACAGTATCCTGAAGAACCTCCATTTTGTAGGTTTCTAACAAAAGTCAAGATGAATGGTGTTAGTGAAAGTAGTGGTGTGGTAAGTAGATATTGCCATTTTTTTTATCATGTGATCCTTATATATTTTGAGTTAGAAGATAAGCATACATGTATTTAACCAGTAGTTTAGTAACAAATGTTACTTCTGTTTCTTTAAAACAATGTGTGCTCAGCCATTCACAACTGAGATTTATTTTTGTTTGTTTTTATGATACAATTATGAAACCATCCACTCAAAGTCTGAGTTTAAAGTATAGATTTTGAAGCATTTGCAAAACACTTATGATTTGGTTATTAAATGAGGGAAAATTGCTAACAAAAATTAAAATTCTTGAGGAATTTTGTTAACTGCAAAACTGCTTTCACATATATAACTAAAGCAACTTCAATAATATAATATTTACTAAAATCATCAAAGTTATGTGCATAAGGTTTAAATATAGCTATGTTTTTTAGTCCACCTCATATTCAACAATCAAAGTTCATGTTCTGTTGGCCCGGCATGGCCAGGTGGTTAGGGCGTTCGACTCGCAATCTGCGGGTTGCGAATCCCGTCC